CACAACTTGGACGTTCGCGGCGCGCGCTCCTTGACGGTTATATCATATCGTCCACTCAGACTTGAATGCCGACTTTCGCGAACTTCAATATTGTGACGGAGCTGTGATGCGTAAACAGAGGCTAAACATCAATTTCGGGGGTATTTTTGCACAAGCGTTTATCTACACTGCCAAATGTATGATATCTCGTAGTCACGTTTTCTAATTTCATTGGACGCATACGTCGACGCACATGGGTTAGATACGGAGTCAGCTATATAGCAGCTGAAAGGTTGTTCTTGGAGTCAATGTTCAGACATGACAACTATGTAGTAGGAAGAGCATGCCGAAGATCTTATCCCATCCACCTGTCAGATCAGGAAACAGCTCCATCGCAGCTGAAATATTTAATGTTAACTCAGCTGGCTGGCACATGTCAACATGTAATATCCATGAAGCAGCTGGACTATCCTGGGCATCTTGTTCCACCCATCTGCCAGATACCAAACCAGCTCCTTCATGGCTAAAATATTTGATGTTGGCTCAGCTAGTTAGCAGGCGTTTAGATGTTGCAGCCATGTAGTAGTAGGTCTATCCTGTGGGTCTCGTCTCATCCACTAGTCAGACAATTCACATATAGTGACCATGTAAGGGCTATCTATTTGGTACTATGTCGCTGGCACATGCTTTATATGAAGAAATTTTGAATATCATGAGAGTTACCTTTGACGCGATCGCGTGTCCTCCTCATAGAAGGGTGTCTGCCGTGAAATAGGTTCACTCGAGTCAAATCAACGCCACCACCGCTACAACCAGGTCATAGGTACCTCCTGTAATCACAGCATGTAGCATAGTCCTTACAATGTAACTGGAAAAAAAACCCTTGTCATTATTGTGTATGCACCAAAAAAAAATACATGTCAGTGTCCAAGAAATCAAGATGAAAGCTACATAGCATGAATGTTCAACTCGACGTATGCCTTTGCCCGTTCCCTGTTGTTCTTAAGCATCGACCTCGTGTTCTTGATGCTATGAACCTTGCGCCACCAGTTTTGACGCGACAGGGGTTTGGCATTGCCCTTGCGAATGTCTGCTATCCACTGCTGGAAAAACTCCTCGTTAGTTTCCGTCCATCCTGGCCAGCCATAACCCTGCTTGTCCCAAATGTCCGGAGGAGGGAACCACGAGACCGTTGTTGTCTGCTCGCCATGCCCTGTATATGAGGAATCAATTCACTATTGAAGACACTCACGGAAGACAGACCTTACCTGTATAGAGGCAGTATGTCCCACACAAACATGCAATCTCCTCACCAGTGAGGTCGTCATCCCAGTAGAAATACCCGTCGTGTTTAGACGGGACAAAGTACCCCGAATGATGCACTGTGACCTCGATGGACGGTCCTTGCAACCCAGACTCCTTACTACCGAATTCCCTTGCAATCCTCCCTACAATGCCACTGCGAAGTATTGCAGCTCACCCTTGCGGGCGGCCCAGCAGCGGGCGGCACTCGAGCATAGCACTGTCGAAGTCTGCTGTCGTGAATTGGTGCTTGTTAAAACGGTTGGCGTTGTCTGCGTATGGGAGATTGAGCTGTTCGGGCTCCGAGGAGGCCTGCAGAAGGAGGGTGCGGAAGGGTATGTGGTGCTCAAGTAGGTGGTAGGCGATTGTCAGCACCGTATGCGTGTTCGGAGCGGAGGCGACCAGTCGACAGATGTAAAGAACAGTCGTGGGGCGATCAACACCGATGACCCATTTGCAAGAGGGGGAAGGAGGTAGCTTGAACACGTATAGGTCCTCACTGATGCGTTCCACAGTGTCGAGCGCAAAGGATGTTGCCAAAGGCTGATCCGATGTTGCGTTGAGGTCGTCGGAGGGTGCTGGCAATCCCGAAGAGCTGTCGATGAGGCATGAAATGAACTCGCGAATTAGAACCTTGTCTCGGTCTGAGACATCAGGTTCTGATTTTGTCCCGATGACACCCAGGACATCTGACCAACTCCGGAGGTTGGGTGCTTGAGGGTTGTGAGCAGTAGGGGATGGGTTGAATCCGTACATAAGGCGGAGGGAAACCAGGAGGTTGGTTTCAGCATCCATGGGTACTGCTACTTCATCAGGTTCAGGAGAGGTGGGGGAGGCACCAGGAGAGGCACCAGAGGGGGGGATTCCGTCTGGAGAGGTTGGTGAGACGTTCTGG